TTACTATATCTACTGTAATTAGCACGTATTATAAACTTTATGATAAAGAAACAACTGGCCACACTAATGGAATTTACTACTGGCAAAACCACCAGCCAGCAGCAAAAGCCCTCACAGGTATGAAGAGTGGTATCTGGAAGAACGGGGAGCTTCAAAGAGAGAAGCCACCTCTCTCCTTTCATGAGGCTGGTTATTGGGAGGGACATTAACCCACCAATAAGGACACACAGATGAGAACACACCGAGCACGATGCTCTTTAGCTGCTGCATGAGGGAACCAACAAGCAACAAGTGTCTTGGAAGCCTCTGGAAACAACTTAGTAACGCAGAGAAACCCCCTATGAACCTGCCCCTGGGCCGTGCCCGCCTCCCCCAGGGCACAGCGAGAGCCACCCTCTAAGACAAGGTGTTCTGCCAAAGACAGATGCCCATACGTGTTGGGCAAACATGATCACCCACTGCTGGGCTGCAATGGAGACCATGACCACAATCCCAGGAGGTCAACCAGAGTAACTGTGTACAGCACCTGTGTGAGGACTGTGCAAACACTTCACCCAGTCCTGATGACAACCCTCAAAAAGCGGTGAAGGGACATGGGAATACAAACAAATGGCTGAGTCAAGGTTTGGGAAACATCCTACACTGAGAAATATCAGCAGCTTAGACCTTTTAGTATATTTAAGAGGAGATGAAGAGAGGGCTTGATCCATCTAGGTGGAGAAGAGGCAAGCTAGCATAGACTAGGAGAAAATGGATGGAAGCCAAAGGCAAAAATTATTTGCAATCCTATTCTGAGTTTATCTGACACTGTAGATAATTATCCAAAATTAGGGGTTTGGTGTACAATTCATGCAGAAGGCTTTGTTGCTTGAGCTTAGCAGTAAATCCGATGGATGACCATGATTGTCCTTTTTAACCTTGCAAATCATAAGGCTGTTAAACCCACTGGTCTCTCGTGGCCTATCCCATCACAGGGGAAAGTGAGCACTGTACTGGGCACTACTGTACTGCACCCTGTCCTGATGGACAGCCCCTATGGCCATGCACCAGAACAGGTCCTCTCTCCCCATCAGCACTCCTCAGCATCAGTGCTGTTCTGCTTAGGCAGGAATAGGCCAGAAATTACTTCCCAGGCCAGCATGGCCACTCTGGGAGGGCAGTTAACTCAGCTTCTCAGAGTCTCAATACCTTGGGGCTTTTTGATGGGCTTGTCCTAGCCCAATCACAGCATATATACAAAGCACAGGTGAAGAAGTGGTTTCTGAATGGACTGAAATAAATATTTCTTTTCCATTTTCATGTATTGTTAACATTCTTTTCTCTTGTGATTTGTTATATGATCATTTAATCACACTGACATTGTTGTCTCCAGTGCAGTGGGAGTTTTCATTAAAGATGCTAAACAAGAGCATGGATGTGTCCACACATTCCTCTCTGCTGGATGCTTTTCAGCATCACCTCTGCTGCCACTGTCATGAACTCTCAGTGAAAATAAAGGTCCTGCACTCATACTGTCTCTGGGGTTGCATCCCCTGGGGGCTGATCATGAACAGAACCACTGAGTCCATTTAGTTAGCTACACCTCCACAAAGGTGGCACCACTGCTAGAGCCATTTCCTATAAGATGTCTCATTGACCCCCAAGTGTCAATCAGGACACTGCAATTACTCTCTAATGTAGCCCTGACTTGCTTTCTGTGATTCTGTAATCCTTCCCTTTCCCCTTCCAATCACCTTTCCTGAAGGCTAACAGGAATGGTTTGAATTCCTCATGACTGCAAAACTCCTGCATTTCCATCCCCACACACTTTACAGTATTGATGGTGACACAGAGTCATTACAGAATAGAAACAGTGAAGGCAGCAAAACAGAAAGGACACAGGTTTAGTCTGTCACAAGCAGAAGTATCCAACATTTGACCAACAATCTTAATATAATCAGCTATATCCTCAAAAAAAACCCAAAGGATTTTTTGCTCCAGATATACCTTGTTATATGCCTGACTATAAAAATCTTCATACAAAATTCCAGATATTCCCCAAGCATAATATAAACGATCAGAGCTCAGTAATAGCAAAAAAACTCTTCCTCAACTCAAAACCTCCTAAAATGACTGTCTACAAAATAGTGGGAGAAAAATATCACATAGCTTTTTTGAGAGACAGAGAGGGAAACAGAAGAATCAACAATATTTTAAGTATTTTTTAATATCTTACTTCTATACATTGAATGCTCTTTCTGCTTCCTCTGATAACTGACCATAGCCTTGAAGTTTCCAGAGACACTTTCATTTTTTCCTCTCAAAAGGTCTATAAAACAACTGATATGGGAATATCAAAATAAATTCTGCATGTTTTCATTTCAGATCTCAGTCTGGTGTTGCGTGTAGGAAGGAAAAGTGAGGCTTGTTTGGGTTTGGGCAGCGCGCTGCAGGTGCTCAGTGAGGGGGAGATGGGGCAGGGCCTGGGTCTGCCTGGGGGTGGGGTAGGCCCAGGGGAAGGAGGTGGAAGGAGTCCAGTCTAGTGCGTGGTCCTGACTTGTTAGATACCTGTGAAGCTTTCGGGATGCCTGTTTGGGTAGCTTTTGCTAGCTCACCCTCACTCTGAAGGCTTTGTTTGGTCCTGAGGATCAGTTTAATGTCAAACCCATCAAATTAAAGCAAAATTAGCAGCCCCAAAATACGTGCTTCTCTCTCTGTGTAATCACAAAATGGTCATAGTGAAACTTCCATGTTTACCTTAAGACCTGTTTATGACTTACATTTTATTAAGTGTAGCTTTAAGAAGCTGCTTGGGTGCATTTTAACTCCCTGAGGCAAAGAGCTGCCTCTGTAGGAGGAGATACTATCGACTTGGAGTGTCCAACATTAAGCTGATTCTGGCATTTGCATGACTGAGCTTCATAAAATCATAGAATCCTAGGGGTTGGAAGGGACCTTGAAAGATCATCTAGTCCAACCCCCCCTGCCAGATCAGGGTCACCTAGAGTGCATCACATAGGAACGTGTCCAGGTGGGTTTTGAATGTCTCCAGTGAAGGAGACTCTGGGCAGCCTGTCCCAGTGCTCTGTCACTCTTACAGTATTCAGCTTCACTGAATCAACATGGGAGTGAGACACCTGGGTTTGCATGAACGGGTTTAACTGCTGCATTTGTTAATTATGCTTTAAGTAGAATGTGGGGTTTGTGAAATACAGGTTTCTGCAGTGATTCTCATGTATTTGTTACTTCATTGGCATTTTTTAGGTCACAGACAGGAGAAGGTTTTGTATGTGCCTTATATTTTATAACATGTTGAGAGCAACTCACAGGAGTAATTTCAAAATTAAAACAGGATGCTTGATTATCTGGAGGAGATGGAGTGTGTCTTATGCATAACTGGTTTTGTCTCTTAGTTTCAGATTCTCTCAGATGTGTTGCTAAGAGATGAAAATCAAAGTCATATATGCTTTTTATTTAACTGAGAAGTCTTGGCTAAATCTGCTTTATTAAATGGAAGAGAAATCCCCTGAGGTTTTGAATCTAGTCAGTTGGTATAGAATTGTTGGAGTGCCATGTAGTATCTGTGAACAGTAAGATGACTAAAGGACTAAAAATGCCATACTTTTCTTCTGTAAGAACCTGGATGTGCTTGGACCTGCTCTCTTAAGTGTTTTTTTCATGGTTATTAAAAAATGTATTGCATGTTGGTATCCTTGTGGCAGCCTGTTACCATGGGCAGCTAACAACAGCTTAGTGCCAACCTCCTGGGAACTGGTTCTGTGGGCAGAAGGGCTGGCTGGCTGGTGATTAAAATGCCAAGTCAATAGAAGGAGTTGGTGTAGTTGTCTTCAACAGTAAATGAGCAGATGAATGCTCCTGCAGTCTCCAGAGAGCTTCATCACCTGATCAGAAAAGTAGATATCCTTTTTAGAAATCCCTTTTGGGTAAGTCTGCTTAAAAACCCCCAACCTTAAGTGCTGTCCAGGTTGTAACACGAAAGAGCAAAAGAGAAGAAATACATGATGAAGGCAAATGTCTGCCCTGCTGTGCCAGTGTGACACAATCCTTAGCATGTGCTTTCATTTCCCATTTCCTTTTACTGGTCTTTATGACCATGCACGTCTGCCAGTTGGCAGAGAGAAGCAGTAAGGAGCCTGGCCTTTCTAGTTACAATCCTAAATCAGCTGGGTCCTCATAAGCCTCCTGCATCTCATGCAAATCAGTCTTGATGCTTGTGCTGAGAGTATTGGGGTAAGATTGTTGTTTACACTGGAGATCACAATTGTGCCAGAATTCAGTTTTATTCTGTAAATAGTACAAACTTGCTGGAAATGCTGCATGGGGTTGCCCAGCGCTTAATCTTTTTTTATTACCTGTCTTTTTAATTTCTCCTGTTACTTTCTGTCTAGGATGAAGGCATGATCTTGTTGGGGAGAGACAAACACATTAGTTGTTGGAAACTCCTGGTTTTATTCTTGATTTGGCTTGAAAAATGGGAATGCCAATTACTGTGACAGTGGCACTGCTGGGCTGAGGCTGTAACCCTTCTTGATCTGGCACCAGGACTGAGAGACCCAGGGTCTGTGCTGCAGGAGGCTGTGTTCTCCTGCTTCAGCTGCCAGGCAGGTCCAGCATGAAAATGTTGTCCAAGCATTTCCCATTGCTCTTGCTGTTTTATTTCTCTGAAGAAGTGCTGCATGAGTTAGCAACAGTATTGCTAATTCTTGATTTTCACATTTTCTTCTGAAGTTTGCTTATAATAAAAAGGAAGAGACTTTAACCTGAAAAATGAACATCCTTGAAGAATTCAGATTTCTGTTGTTGTGCAAGTCTCAAAGTGACAATTTTTCCTTGCAGTTTTTATTAAGAAAATATATTGCTTTTCCTGCAAGAGATTTACATTCTTACTCTGGACACCTTTTATAGTCTGGATTAAATCCTGACAAAGGCTGGGAAGGAAAAGTGTTGGAGTCAGCAATTATTTACAATTCTTACTTACATTTTTTGTTTTGTCCAGTGAGGTTTCATGAGTCAGACTGGCCTGTTGGGAGTTTCTTCTGAAGATGTACATGTTGGTTGAAAAACGCACAAGTTCCCATCTTCATCTGAAGAGGTCACCTGGCATTCGATCTTGGTCTCTCTTTGTTGGTAAGACCATAATACTCCTGGGTTTATTTCAGATCTTACTTTAGGGGAAGAGGGTTAGAGAATAAATTCTAGAAAGAGCCTCTAACAAGAGGCTTTTTTTCTTTCCAGAGGAGATTGCATCATGCTTTGAACTTCTCCTTCAGCATAACCAATGAATGAAGCTGAAGCTTCCTCCTCAGTTTGGTAGTTTCACTGAGAGGCTGATAATTTTTCAGTCTGTCATCTGCAGACCCTCAGAGGTTAATGGACAGAATTTTAAGGGAGTCCTGAAAGATGAAGGAAAGAAAGTTTATTATATGCCATATAGGAATACACATGGAGCTTCTGAGGGGATGCATTCATACATTGACACATGTCTAGGCTTTCAGAAATGGAAAACTCTGCAGCAGAGTGGTGCTGGGGTTCCATCTCGTGTGGTTGGCAGTGATCACCTCACAGCACTGTGTGAGATGGGAAGCCATACAGGATGTTCTGAGAAGCATCTGTTTCTAAACACCACTGTATATGCAGGGAAAAAACAAAACAGGGTGGTACTTCTTAGGACTGCACTGAGAGACCTGGTGGGCAAAATGTGTCCTATCCTGCTTTCAGCTGAGCAGATCCTACTGCAGTAGCACTCAGGCTGTCATTGCTGACAGTGACCTTGTCTTGCCAAGCACTCAAGACAAGATCTTTGCAGTGGTGCTCTGGGACATGAGGCACTTCTCCACTGCTTCCTCCTCCGCGGCAGAAATGAGCTGGCAGTTTCTGACATGCTTTATTGCAGAAGTTTTCTTTTGGTTCCACAAAGCACTGAGGAGGGGGGGGGAAAGTAACTGCTGTAGAGTTTGTTGGCCAGGCTTAAAGTTGTACTGCAATGGAGAGGAGGAGTTGGTGGAATGGCTTGGCTAAGAGTCCCTCTGAAGTGCTGTTCCCAATTCCGTCATAGCTTTTTCTTTCTGACCTCAGCCTCTCTGCTCTTTGGTGTCTTGGCAGAATGGGAGGTTTTTTTAGACTGAGTTCAGAGAAAAATAACTGACTCTTTCACATAGTGATTAATGTTTTCAGTCACATTAGTGCCTTTTTTCAAATGCTTTGAACTCATGAATATATTCATATTTTATCAAGAAATTTTAGGTGGTTTGAGCTGTTTGCTTGTCCTAATTCTCTCCCCTCTCATCCTAGGAATAGCCTCCATAGGTTTGGCTGCTGCTTATTATAGTGCAGGTAATGGCTTTTTTTTTTAAGAATTGTTTATTTCCTGTGGATCTGTTTCTCCTGCTCATGACTCCTCTCTGCAGCTTCTGTCTGGCCTTTCAAAGCCAGTAGAGGTACTTATCACACTCTGTGTTGTGTGAATATTAAAATCCAATTAGGATTCTTGCCTGTGTGTGACTTACCATGCTTTAATGCTCCATTTTTTACTCAACCTCCCTTTCCATTTGTAAGAGTGTTTTTAATAATGATGTTTACTATGTGGCACCTTGTACTTTCAGTGTGTTTTATAAGTGTGATTCACTGGTCCTCAGAGCTCTCCTGGGAAGACATAAAATGATTGCTTGCCACCATAATGAAATGATTACCTTGCCTTTGATGGGAATGCTCTGTTGCTCTGGAAACTGTTAAATCATCACTGGCAGAGATTTTTCATAAGAACACCTTTAGGGAACTGTCAGCTACTGCTGCTTCCTGCCCCCCTGCAATAGAGCAGACTGCACCAAATGCCAGGTGTCCTTCCATCTCTGGAATTTATCCTGCAGGCTGTCCTGTGATTCTCTTGCTGCATCCTGTTAACAATAAATTAAAAAAACTAATAGTGTGTAGGAGGAATATGTTGCCAATAAATTAATGTATTTTTATTTTAAGAGCAAAGTCCAGTGCAAGCTGCTTGAGACACCAGCTTAGCAGCCTTTCTTTTTTCCTTAAGACAGGGCAACAGTTTTTTTTCTGAAACAATACTGAGCAGAGTTCCACTCTGCCTTCAGTAAAAGCCCGAGTAAGCAAATTGCTTAGGCTGTATGCAAACATTTTCAGGACATAAAATGCAAATGTTTGTTTGTCCAGAGGGCCAAGTGCTTCCTTTATTGGAGAAACGTTTGCTTCAATGAGTTTCCTTTGTCCCTTACCCTTGTCCTCTGCAGCACAAATATTTGGTGGTTGACTGCAGGGTGAGAAATTTATGGATGTATTTTAAGATGCCCTTGCTTTTGGAGAAGAGAAGGATATGTAGTGATCTTACAACCTTGCCAATAATACACATGCTTATTGTTCTGTATGGTTTGGAACCTGGTGTAGGTGGAGTCCTTCAAAAAGATGTGGAGAGTTTTTGTATTTTTATTCTGGGAGAATAAACAGCTTGCATTACAACTAAAGGCAGGAATGTTGCATCCTTTTGTGGCCTTTAAAGGGAGCATGTTGCTTTTAAAGCTGTTAGAATACCAAAGAAGGAAAAAGAAAACATCTAATTTTGTACATTTTTTGCATTGTTCAGATAGTTTGGCATGGAAGCTTTTCTATATGGCTGGGTGCTTCTTTGTGGCAGCACAGAATCTGGAGCAGTGGGAGGTAAGATACTGAGCTTGGGAAATGGGTTATTCAGGAAGAGTTGGTGGGTGCTGATCCCAGCAGCCCTGAGCACTTGCTCAGTCCAAACAGACAAGTTGTGCTCCTGGTTTAAAGGAAACCCTTCAGAGCTGCTTTACCAGGACTAGAATTCATAGAATGGTTTGAGTTGGAAGGGTCTTTAAAGATCATCTAGTTCTGACCCCCTGCATGGGCAGGGACACCTCCCACCAGCCCAGGTTGCTCCAAGCCCCATCCAACCTGCCCTTCAACACTGCCAGGGATGGGGCAGCCACAGCTTCCCTGGGCAACCTGGGACAGGGTCTCACCACCCTCACAGCAAAGTGTTTCTTCCTAATGTCTAAACTAAATCTTCCCTCTTCAGTTTTAATCCATTACCTCGTGTTCTATCTCTCCATGCCCTTGTAAACAGTCCCTCCCCACGTTTCCTGGAGCTCCTTCAGGCACTGGAAGGTGCTCTAAGGTCTCTCTGGAGCTGAACGCCCCAACTCTCTCAGCTTGTTTTCATAGGAGTGATGCTCCAGCCCTTGGATCACCTTTGTAGCCCTTCTCTGGGCAGTATTTTTTTCCTATGCAAGCATAAAAGCATGAAGCTAAACATAAGAGTGTGGGTTTTTTTAAGAGGACACTTGCCCCAAACTGTTTTGTGGCCTTTTCTTCCTCTTACATAAAAAAGGGAGAAAGAACAACACCAGAATTTTGGTGGAGCTAGTGACTGTGTTAGCGAAAAGTGTAGCTAGAAATATGTTTGCTGTGTAGTTGTACTGCAGTCCAAATGCATGCACTGGAAGTGAAAACTGCAGGACCTGCAAGTTACTGTTCAAATGTGATTCCAGGCTGAGTTTTTATTACATTAGGAATGTGTTGAGTGGGGCAATGAAACCAGCTTTAAATTCCTTCTAGAAGTAATACAGGAGAGATGTTAAAGTCTCTGTTAAAGCCAAGAGCAAGATGATTTTCACAGTTTAAGTAACAGAGGAATGTCTCTAAAATAGCTGTGCATTTTTCTGTATTACCAAGATTATTTTACATAATATTTTGCTTTATTTTACTTTTATTTGTATTTGAAGCATAGTTGCTGGTGCTGTTTGTAAGAAAATCTTTATTTTTCAATGTTACAGGAAGCTGTATTTGATAAGAACAAGGGAACAGTTTGCCTAAAAACATTCAATCTTTACAAAAAATTACTGACCTTCTCAAAAGGAGGCAATGAACAAGGTGAGAAAGCAGCATCTGTGGTAGCAAATGTGGGGGGTGGACAGAATGAATGCATACATGCTGATTTAATAAGCTGCTCTGGAGTTCTATACCCAAATTAGCCACATCTGTTTTGTTCCCAAGCAGCATATATGTAATAATCTGCCTCTCAGGACTCAAATGCTTTTTCAGATTAGGGTGCTGAGTGCATCTTGTTAATTATTTTAATCAACTAACTAGGCTTACACATTGCTTTCTGCAATAGTCTAAGCCATTCCTTTGGAATTTTGATGTGTGGGTTTGTGACTCTCCTGCTTTGCAGGTGGGACTGCTGAAAAATTGAAATTTTGGATCCATGAGTCAAGATTTCTGTAATCTAATCTGTTTGATAAAATGATCTGGCTGGTAAAAGCTACCTGCTTTGGTAGCAGGCAAATGTTTAGATATCATGCAGGCAGGCATGTTGTATCTTGTAGCTATAGAATATGCATTGAAAGCAGCATATTTGCTAGGCTCAGCTTGGTGCAGTATCTTGTTTCTCCTGAGCTTCCTGTTGGAGTAACAGGAGCTGAAGTGCATTAGGTGACTGGGTTGAGGCACTGAGCCAGGAGCTCCATGGCAAACAGCAGGACCCTCTGCAATGGCAGATTTTTTTTTTTAGTTCTACTCACTAATCTAAATCAAACCAACTCTCCATATGCTTAGAAAACTGACAACATTTGGAATGTTCTTAAGCTGAATTGTTTTTTAAACAGTTGGAGATGGAAGATAAGAGATGTGAAGAGAAGAATGTTTAATGTTTCTGAATGTTTCTTTAGGGTATGTTTATATGTTGGGGAGCTGAGCACATCTCTTTCTGAGAAGCTCTTGGTAATACCTATTTCAGGTACTGTTAATGTGGAGATGCAGAGATCAGGAGCTCTGAGCAATTAAACCTTTCAGCATTTGTTCAGTCCTGGTGAACTTAACACCTCTTTACCTACTCCATACAGAAAAATAGTTAGAACTGTTATTAAAGTGGGAAACAGAAGAAATAAACTAATGGTCCCCCAGTTCCTGGAGGCAGAATATCTTGTTCACTGGTACATGCAGTAGTTTTCCCCCTTTGCTTCCCTTGTTTGTTCTTCCTGAATAGCTCAGTAGTGTTTGGCTATTGCAGGACTGCCTTGGTTGTTTGGGATCAAAGCAGTGGCACTCAGGGTCCCAGGGGAGTCACCCCTGGCAGTGCTGGGAGTTCCCTGTGTGCTGACAGGCTGTTTTTCCACCTCTCTTCACAGTCGTGGCTCTGCTGCCTGAGATCCGAGCGGTGCATGTGGAGGAGGAGGTGGTGCGGTACTTTGGGAAGGGTTATCTGGTGCTGCTGAGGTTTAGCACTGGGTTTGCACACCCCCTGACTCAGAGTGCAGTGCTGGGCTGTAGAAGGTATGGTGTGGCCTTTTTTTCTTCTTGTGTTTTTTTTTTAAATTAGTATGTGTAAGGTGGGAAACACCAATCACACGGGTCAGGAATTGTGTACTACTGAGACTTATTCTAGCTCCGTTTTCATACTTGCTGGTATGTTCTTGTGTTATTCAGCTTAACTTTTTTAAAACCCTTTAATGCTTTCAGTTTCAGACATTTGGGCAGCACCATCTCCCATTGGGATACTCATCATATTTAGGTATCTAAGATCCCTTCAGTACTGCATGTCTCCTGTAGTTACCTTCACTAGCTCAGCTGTGCAATGGCAGAGGGGGTTAATTCTGTTTTGCAAACATTCAGTGTATTTATCAATGAACAGCATTTATGTAAAGCATCAACAATAAGGAATCTTGCAGCAGCGTCTGTGGGAAGGGGATTAATTTGTTCTGATATGGAAGTAATGGCTTGGCTTAATATACCTTCACTGTCAGTCATATGTTAACTGGCCCTCCAAACAGTTGTTCTCAGGAATTAGCATGCCTTTTGTTGTCAGCACCACAGTTCCACTAACTCTTCTGTTCTTTCTTCCTTTCCACAGTGATGTGGAAGCAGTTGCCAAACTCATTACTAGTTTTCTGGGACTGGACAGAATAGAGAACCAACAAGATCTCTCTCAGAGCAGCGAAACAGAGGCTAGTGATGCTGATGAACCACAAGATAAATACTAACAGACATCATGAGCTGAAGAAAGCAGAAGCTTTCAAACATCTGGAACTTACAGATTATTCTTCAGGAAAAGAATCCCCTCATAATCTTGACTTGGGCATTTCTCTACATGTGCATGTACTATGGAAGGAATCTGTCTTAGGACAAATTGGTGCTCAGCTGCTTCAGAATCCATGCTCACAGTATTGCCAGGGTAGAGTCCAAAGCATATCCTGTTTTATTTGCTCTTTTGCTTTTGAGTTTTGTAAGCTTATCAAACTTGTCTAGGAATGGTTATTTATGAATGAATTTGTTTGAAATAATTTACATGCTTTCCCACTAATGAAGTGGAGATACAGATGTATCCATGTATTGCAAGCACCTGCTGCAGATACAAGATATGAAGTGTAGAAGAGCTGAATTTCTTACTCACAGCACACTGCTTTCAGGTTTGTCTTGAAATATTTTAAGTGATTGACTATATTGTTCAACAGGTTATAAGCAGCTTAATACATGCAATTAGGTGATGCAGGACTGTGGCTCTTTTATATTCTACTGACTTGCCACTAGATTTCAGTGAAAAATTAAGTTGGAATGACTGTCCTGGACTTGGAAACATCAGGCTGATCAATTTGTTACATTGTCCTAATCCTCTGGGACTTTCCAAGGAGCCATAAACAGTAAACAAAAAATGACCATGTTGATGATTGCCTGTCTTTGGGATGTTGTAACTTAATCTAGTTCTGCTGAACTTCTGGGCATAGACTATCCTAAGATAGAATAACCTTTTACTAGACCTTAATATTTACTGTTTTAACTATATATTTAGAAAGGAAGAAAAGCACATGTGTTACTTAAGGGAAAAGACTGAGCTCAATGTAGCAGCCTAGATTAGTTTAGTGTTTCCTCACTTGAAATTACACCTAAGCGCAAGTAATAACTTTTTTTAACACAGCTGGGATAGATCCAATGTTAGACTTGCACCCATGCTTTACTCTGGGTGTGAGTAGTGTCCTCTGTTCTGACCAATAATGTCTTAAATAGTTAAAAGATGAATTCTCCAAAATTTTTTTAAGTAAAAGCTACCTCTGTTAGTCAACATGTTCTGTCTAGAACTAAAACTTTGTGCCTCTGTCAGCTTTTCAGTGGAAGGAAAGAGTTGTAAAGAGTTGTAAAGTTCCTTCAACCTGCTATAATTGCTTGTATTAACTAGCTTTTATCCAGGAACTGTATGGTGTTCAGTCCTGAACTAGACAATATTTCCACAGTTCCTGCAGGTCTGAATGAGGTAGGAGATGACTGTGTGGTCTGCTTTCACCTTTGACCAGCAGCAAATGTCTTCAGGACTTGGAATAACCTGTGTTCTTGTTTCAAAGCACTCTACCTCTACAGAAGAGAGAGCTCTGAGAATGTTTCAGCAGAAGATGTCTGGTGGTGTGTTCCACCTGTATTTGGAACTAAGTACATACTTATCTGACCAAGATTTCACTTGAAGCCATTTAGACCTAGTGTGTGAGCTGGGAGACCAGGTGCTCTTACTGTCAGTTTGAAAGGGTAATCAGACTGTAACAGGGAGGTGGCTCTTGGTGCAGCTTGACTGCAGCACAGAAGTGGGTCTGTTTCTGTTCAATAAGAAACTTGTAATCAGGTGAGGTATCAAAGCAGACCAATATACATCCTTGTGAAGTCCTCTGAGCTGATGGGCTAATCCTGTGGCTTTCAAACTCCAAACCACTGGAACTGGGAAGCTGCAAGTTAGGGATGTTGGGTTGTATGAAATTGTATGAAAATTAGGTTGCAGGGAATTAGCTACATCTGGCCTTTATTCTGAAGCACAGCTGTAAGCTAGGAATAATTATCTAACCTGTTTAAAAAAAATATTGCAGGATGTAACACTTTGGAGAGATCTTCATTTAAATCCACTCTAATATATACCCTAGAAATACTCATTTTGGAAAGGGGGGAATGAGACTGGGGATTTGGAGAATTGTTTTTTTTCCTCAGCTAAGTAAAATTAGAATGTCAAGTGTTCTAAGGACTTCCAGGAGGAAATACTGCATGTTGTACAAAGGGAGAAAGCTGCATCATCTAAACTATAACTTAATATTTTGATACTTCACAGAATTAATGTTTCAGTGACGAGGATCAATTGTACAAGTCTCAAAGAAAAGCCAAATATTTATAGCATATAGCTGACATCTGACTCTTGTGCTGAATTTATGAATTTACACAGACACCAAAGCCTAAGCTGGCTTACACAATAAAGTGCTAGTTCTAACACTGTAGTAGATCACTGAGAGGCAAAATGGTTAGAAATTGTTTTTCTACTTTAAAATTGCAAGTAGAATTCCAGTGAGGCCTTGTACCTTGTCTTTTTTAAAAAATAGCCATTGATAAAATCAACTTTGATAACTTGTTTTGTGTCACTGTAGTCTTTTTTTTAATTTGTTTTAATGGAAATGTGTTAAAATATTGATGACAGTCTAAATTACTACTTGGCACAGCCCTACTGGAGGAGTTAATGGAGGGCAGGACAGCAGAGGAAGCCCAAATCCCCAGCTCCTTGCTGACCCTGTTACAGCAGCTCAGTTTTCAATTTCAGATAAGCTGATAAAACCAACTCTCCCCTGGTGAGTGAATGTATTTGCATTTTCCCCCCTTTAAACCAAACCCACAGGCCACATGAAAAAAAACCAAATACTTTTTATGAACACTTTGAGTATCAAAGGATTTATTAAAGTAATATAAATTAAGATCTCATTTATTTCAAGGTAAGTGGCTTTTGTAATTAAGTTATACATAGTAATTGGTTCTTTTTAGATAAAAATCTACATGTGGACCTAACTCCTAAAGCTCTCATTAAAATAAAAATATTTTGCATATTTATGGTTGTGTACTTAACTACCAGACTTGGGAATTACTTGTCTTTGTAGAACATCTCTCTCAATGTAGTTCAACGGGAGCTGAAGTACAGATCATAAGGACCTAAAGCTTGTTTAAAATATCCTCAATCTTGTGTTTTATGGAAAATGCAAAATGGGTGACACATTGGCTCCTGACTAAGAGAAGAACTTGTGGAACTCTTCCTGGCCATTGTTATATAGAAAGTCTATTACTATTACAAATATAAAATCTGAATGAAATTGGGTTTTTCTCTTGCCTTGAGCTGAGTCCTGGCTCACTCCTGCATTCTGTTATGCAAGAGGAGCAAATCTGACTTAGAGGGCAGGTGAGTTAAGGCTCAACAATGTGTTAAGACAGGAAAAGTAAGAGTTGAAGCTTATTACACTAATCAATTCCTTGAAGCCTTCAAGTCACTTTCGTTTAATCATAGTTGTTGCTTTAACTCTTAAGATGACAAACTAGCTATGTCTAGTTTGAGATTTCCACCAGCCATGTTTTTCCATGGAATAAGCCTAATTGAAATGCCCTTAATTTAGTGCTTTTATTGCTTCATCTAAATCATCCACCACTTCCTGCAGCTTCTGTAGGCTGGGGTGGACATTCTCCTCCATCCACTCCTCTATTGTACACTCATGGAAAACTTGCTCCATGGCTGCTCGGAGGTCCTGCACCACAGCATTCCACTTGGAGAGAAGACTAAGCAGAAATGAGACAGGAAGAAACAATTCCACTTGGAGAGAAGACTAAGCAGAAATGAGACAGGAAGAAACAATCACATTTGCAGCTGAGCTCTGCCTCCTGGGAGGGCTCCATTACTGGGCCTTTGGAAGGGAGAGCAGTCCTTAGAATGACTTTACAGGAAAAGAAGCACCTATCACAAGAGCTCAAGGGACTGGAGTTTGTGCAGATGACAAAATGTTAATGCTGTTTCTGCTTAAGGACCATTAATCTTAGCACTTCTGCAGTGACTTTAAGTACTGAAATGTGAGCTGAAAAAAACCACTATACACATTTTAAGTGTAACTGAAACTGACTCTGACTTGTTGGGAATTAAATTGTTTTTTTTATCAGGAAGAGTGGATGCTGTTGGATATTCCCCTGATCACAGAAAGTGTAAGTTAGCCATTTAGCATGAATCAGCATCACTTTGAGGACAAGTTCTGAAAAGCACATATGGTGACAGGGAGCAAAAGGAGAGTTTTCTGGAGACCAATTTTGGACTTGGGTGCGAAGGATTTGTTCAACAGAGGCAGACAGAGAAACAGGTTCTTCTGTTTAAAGCCACATGATGAACACTTCATATTGTTTGATTTCCACTGATGCTTCTGAAATAATTCTGGAAAGGGGCAAGGACTCCATATGTCCATCAGTACCCAAAAAATGACAAGACTTTTATTTCTGCTATAATGCAACATCAGTGGTGTTACCTGACTGCATCTGGCTGGAAGTGATGCATGATGATAGGGTGAATAATCTTCCTTTTTCTGTGGTAGGGGCTGAACCAGCCTGTGACATATCTGAAAAGAAATGGGAGTATGAACAGTTTTTGAAGCAGCAGTGACATGTTTGTAGGCTGTAAGGGAAGGGACAGGGCTTGAGCTGAACCTTTCCTGCACAAACAGAAGACATGCTCAAGGAATAAATAAATTTAAGTCTATATTCCTTTAGAACCAGCTTGTAAAAGACTTTTCCTGGCAAGTGAGAATAACTGTTCATTAGTTGCAATTTAAGTTTCATTTCAAGGTTTTTTTTTGTAACTGTAGCATTAAAATAAATTAATTTTAACTTTAAGTAGCAGTAAGATTTTAATTCAGGAAATAACTTGATTCTTGAAATAAGGCAACACAGTGTTTAAGGATTCTGCTGACATACTTTAAATGTGTATCCAAGTATTACGTTCTGCTGAGGTGTCAATATATAGGGATGTGATTCCTGAAATGCAGAGCTTGATGCCTGCATCCCTTTGCTGGAGTTAATGCCCCTCTTAGAGATGACACAGCTCCCCACTCCTGCAGAAAAATCAACATAACTCATTACCTGTTCCTTTCAAGAAGTTCATCCACTGATGACTTGAGGTAGAAGGTAACTTGGGTCACAAGTGCAAGGATATTGCTCCCAGGAAAGGTCCCCAGACTTGTACTGTCCAAAGAGGATCCATTAGTTTCTGAATTTGCCACACCATGAGAAACATCTGATTCCACAGCTGTAATTTTACCTCATGTAAGTATCAGTTTCCAGGTTGGACATTCCCAGCAGCTTTTCCACATTTTCTTTACTCTTTTCAGAATAGCCACCTGGCAGAAGACAGTGGAAATAAGCAAAAGGAGCCTAAATAACCAAAATGGTTATAAGAGAAGGTTATTCTGGAGTCCTCTGCATTGGCTTAGTAGTTCTCCTTGGATGAAGATTTTTTTTTTTAAAAGGTAAGATGGAAACAGAATAAGGAAAAAACCCTGAGGGTGGGAGGGGTACATTGACTTTCACACAACTGCCTTGTGCTAGGAAAAGCACTTCCTAGCTATGAGCTTTCCATTCAGCATGCTGAACGTTTCTAGAGCCTTAGTTAAAAACAAGTAGGTTGTGGGGTTTTTATTTTGAAAATAAATACAGAGAGACCAAAATAAAAAAAATAAATTGGCAACTACCTGTGAAGAAACCAGAAACTACAGGAAGTATTTTACCAGTGTACTGCCTAGATCAATGTTAAGAAAATTGATTAGTTAAAACAATTTAGTGTAAACAAGTTCTAAATCTAAACAAAATCAATCTCATATCAGTAGCATTTTAAATCAGTCTCAAAAGCTATTCAGCTTTATTTTTTTTTACTATGAGCATAAAGAAGCTTGTGTCTATTTGTGGGTTAAACCAAACCATTAGTATGTTATGGTTGTTTTTAAAGACAGGCCAAGAGGCTTCTCTGCTTCTGTATCCCACGTGCAATATGTTTAATTTATTGTTTGTAATTCAGAGCATGATCAGACAGTTAGACCACCTCAAAATATAATAAGCCTGTGCCAACCTTAGGGCAAGGTCACTTCACTCGTGTGCTAGGCATTAGCTGAGAGTATAAAGTTGTCATTGTACCATTCTTTAGTGCCTGCAGACATACAGCCAAGGATGGAATTGCCACAGGGAGAAGCTCACACAGAACGGAGAAGTGATCATACCTAAATAAGAAAATATTAATTAATTAGATGCTTCAGTATCAGAACATTCTAAAAGAGTGGGAAGTGTTAGTGCTTCAATCACTACAAGTCAATGAGCTTTAGAATTGTCAGTTTCTGTCTCAGATAAGGGACTTTCTCTGAAATCTGAAGTATTCCTGTTTCACTAGAGGGAACAGGCAGTCAAATTACTTGGCTCATTTAGGGTTAGAATTCTGACCCTCAACAATTAGGGTCAGAAATTAGAAGTCAGATCTCTGGTATTCCCTTACATCTCTTGGCTGTTGCTTAAAAGCCTTTTACTTCTTATATTACCAATCTCTTCTGCAGTTCCATTGTATCTGAATTCCCCCCATTCAGTTACAGCACAGTTAGCAGAATGCAGGGTGTGTCTGTCAGCAGCCCACGGTGCTACAAAGTACCTACAAGCCTTCAAACCCAACCTGCTATTGCTGGTGTCTGCCAAAGCCCTTGCTCCTACTGATAAATACTGCAGCAGTTGTCTGGAACTCTTGAAATCCACCTTCACAGACAGCTAGGGGAAGCCCAGGTGCAGCCAACAGGAAGGACTGCAGGATTGCAAAGCTCCTTTCTAAATCCCCAGCCTCCTTCTACCTCTTAGGAAGTTTTTGGGTGGGAGTTTGTTTCCATGAGATCCTTGGAAGTGTTTAAAAGGATGGTTCTTACCTCTGCCAGCCAGTCAGGGCAATACCTTCAAGGAGATCAGCAGGGCTGTTGCTTGCCACCTTCAGCCACTGCAGATGGTTTTTCAAGTGGTGTCCAATAAGTGTCAGAGACTGATTCACTCCTGTAGCCCCTTTAAAAGCACTAGCAAACCACACCTTGGAGAAGCCACATCTACGATACTTCTCTATGAGATGCACTGCAGGAAGAGACAAAAGAATGGTTATAGGATAAGGTGTTCTCTATTGTCAGCTTTGAATGTAATGCTGCAATTAACAGGAACCCAGGTTCAGTCACAGCAGGCTGCTGAGCCTTGTTCTGTCAGGTTTGGAGCATCACCAAGGATGACAGATGTGGCAGGCTCCCTCAGCAGCCCACCTGGTGTCTGACTGCCCTCCTGCATGTGCCCAGTTACTCCATTCCCTTGAATTGCTAAATTGCTTCAGTGCTAAGAGCTGAGGGTATGTAAGCAGCATGCACACCTCCTGACAACTGGGTCTTCTCTCAAAGAAATATTTGTATGCATGTTAGATGATTGATTCTCTTATGGGAGCCTCTAGGAGTTTTCCCTTTGAATTCTATGGATGTAGGAAGCCTTCAAGCTTCTAGTGGAGAGCTGTTCAATATGGAGCTATCTGCTCCCACTGGTTTTAAACCAAGTAAAGTTAATGTAGCAGGGCCTGTGAAAAACCTCTCAATCTCCCACCAGTGATTCCATAGCCCAGAAAATGCATTTATAGGAGTCCTCTATAGGACTAAATAAATCAATAGAAAAGGAAAATAAATCATAGCAACTATTACATGAGATCAAATGAGCTATGTTTCTGCTATTAAAGCAATAAAAAGCAATTTAACAACAGATTTTTGTGTGTGTGTGTGCAACTAAGGTATGTTTCAATCATAGTACTTTGTTTTGGTTATTTTGCTGAGCAGGTGACAAATACAAACCTTTGCCCTCCACATCAAGGTCTGCTGTGTAGTCCCAGATCATTGGCTGCACGAGCTGTGGGACCCCAGACTCTGAAAGGAACAGAGCACTTCTAAATAATGGGCAATGGGTAGTTAACAGTGAGAACTAAATACATGTTATTGGTGTCACAGACACAGTCAGACAGCATCTGATGTAGCCAAGGACTACATATCTCTACTTTCTAGTCTAATGGAACATATGACAACTATTTTCAGATATCTTGCTTTCATTATTTTCATCTGCCAACAAATCTGTTCTGACGGGTTGTGTAAACTTCTCTGCAAGCAAGGAAATATGACTCAGCCCATCATGGGTCACACACCTGCCAGTGTTTCCTCACTCATCCCTCTGAGCATGTCATCCCACACGATGGGTGTCACAGTGGGGTACGATGAGGCCACACAACTTGCAACGGCTTTTATGTGGGATAAGCACAGCTTCTCTGGAGTGTTGTCTTGTTGCTGCAGCCACTGCTGTGACTCCTCTCCCTCACCCAGGTAGTAAACCTGAAACATCAACAAATAATCCTTGTACAGGAACAGCAAGAAGAAGCTTGTATCAGGAAATCATACAGTATTCAAAGCCTATTGCACAGATGTGACACACAGAGTGGAGACACTTAAAAGCATCCCTCAGTTTTGAAGACACTGCAAGCACATCAGTCTGCAGGAGGCTGTGGCCTTGACTAAATGCATCATGTAAGGGAATCTTCCTAGAGAAATGAAAATGTCTAAAGAATCACAGCATGTCAGGGGTTGGAAGGGACTTCTGGAGAACATCAAGTCCAACCCCCCTGCCAGAGCAGGATCAAAACTAGGGCAGGTCACTCAGAAACCCCTCCAGATGGGTCTGGAAAGTCTCCAGAGAAGGAGACTCCACAACCTCTCTGGGCAGCCTGGCCCAGGGATCTGTGACCCTCACAGGAAAGAAGTTCTTCCTCATGTTGAGGTGGAACTTCCTGTGTTCTACCTTGAATCCACTGCTCCTTGTTCTATCACAGGGCACAGGTGAAAAGAGGTTGTCCCTTGCTTCCTGATGCCCAGTTCAAATCCAGCAACCCATAGGTCCTGAATTGGGAAATTCCTGTTTTGGGGAAGGAGATAATTTGTCTGTGAATCTACACGTGACTTGGGGGCATGTCCAAGAGTGGCCCCAGCATACCTGGTCCTATGCAGAGGGTGGATGTGGGTCTGTTAAGCTGGATGTGCCTTTAACTCTGTTGTTTTAGAGAAGGTTTTATCTAAAACACATTTATTCTACCTAAACAGTATTCTGCATTATAAAATTTGCAGGTCCCTGTCTAACCTTGCCATCAGTTCCCACAGAAGAGGATACAAAACACCGAGCTACTATCAGGGCAGTGAAGGTGGTCACAGTGAAGTTCAGGGACCTGTGTGCTTTAGGGATGGTTTTAAGAAACTCTGAGTAGGAGAAAACTCAAGGCTCTCTTCCTCAAGGAGACAAACTTGGAGAAAAAAACAACAACTTCCCACCACAAAAAGGCTGACTTTGAATAATTCAGCCAGAACAACAAGCCAACATCTCACATCAGAACTCACATGATTCTTAATGGATACCTGCAGCTGATACCTCACTTTAAATTCTCCTCTGACATTAAACCAAGTGCCAAGTTAACTTGAACAAACTGTTTTAAATAATTTGGGTATCACAGACAGATCAATAGAAATAACATCCAGTGTACTGGGATAGTTTATTGCTGAAAAGACTTTTCTACACTGCCTTGAACTGGTGTTTTCTGCCACCCCAACATGAAGTGCCACTGAAGTGCAGAAGCCTCAGCCCTCACCATCACCCCTCACCAAAAACACGTCCTGGCTCAAGTCCCACCTCATCACACCCGATGTGAAACCATTTCAAGTCCTCGTGCAGCGCCATGACCTGGTCGATCATGGCCTTGACCAGCGCCCGCGACTCCTCCTTGTGCGGGTTGAGGGCGTTGGGAAACACCTTCACCTCCCGGAGATGAGCGAACTCCCTGTGCTTCAGCACAAACTGCCAAGGGAAAGCAGAGCGCGGTTGGAACAGCAGCAACAGGAACGGGGCAGCAGCGTTTCCTCTTGCTTCACCGGGGCTCTGCGAGGCCCGTCCCGCTGCGCCCCGGGGGTGCGAGCACAGGGGCTGCTGCTCCGGGGGTCTCCCCACCACCCAGTGCCCCTCGAGGGG